TCGGGACCCTCTCCCACACCGAGTCTCTTCCAGGGTGAACAAGGTCTGCTGGGGGCTCCAGGACAAGCGGGACCACCCGGTCCCCTGGTAAGTCAGGGTGAGCGAGCCCTGGGCATGGGTGATCTGAGCTGGGCACGGTCCAGGGTGATGACACCCTCTTGGCCTCTTGCAGGGTCCCGTGGGATTGCCTGGCCTCAAGGGAGACCCCGGCCACAAGGGAGATAAGGTGAGACGAGGTGACGGTTGTGCAGGAGCTGGGGTCCCTCACCCCGGACTTGTCCCTGAGCTCCCCTGGTCCTGGGGAGGGGGCTGCCTGACGCTGCCCTTCGCCCCCAGGGCCACGCTGGACTGATTGGGCTCATTGGACCGCCAGGAGAGATGGGGGAGAAAGGAGACCAGGGGCTCCCGGGCATCCAGGGCCCCCCGGGACCCAAAGGAGACCCTGTGAGTATTTGGTGTCTCCCCTGAGCTCAGGGGCTGGGTGAACGTGGGGGGAGACAAGGTACAGGGGCTGATGGGGCGCAGGCCCCTCGAGCACGGGGCTGATGCTGTCTCTCCCCACAGGGTCTGGCTGGACCCACCGGCCCCACAGGGCCCCCCGGCCCCCCCGGGCTCTCGGTGAGTATCTGCCTGCGCTGTGTGGGTTTACCAAGGGTCTCCCGCCCTTAACTCCCCCGCAGACCCCTGGGGGCTTCATCCCCGGAAGGGTGAGAGGGGCAGGGGGGAGCCCGAGCCCCAGGGAGGGGTCGGGGGTAGCTGCCATGGGATCGCTGCGTGCCCGGCCAGCGCCCCTCTTCTCTCTTCTCTTCCTCGCAGGGACCCTTGGGCCAGAAGGGCTCCAAAGGCTCACCGGTGAGTGCTGGGGAGGGATGGGGACGGCAGGGCAGCTTCTAATGTGCTCCCAGGGGAGAAAGCGGGGCCCGTCGCGGGGAGCAAGTGCCGCGGTGCTGAGTCCTCTTCTTTTGCAGGGTGCTCTGGGTCCCCGAGGTGATACAGGGCCCCCCGGTCCTCCAGGACCACCGGTGAGTAAGGGATGCTCTGGACAGAGGCCGCTTCACGTCTGTCCCTTCCCGGGAGGGCTCCGACGTCCCCAGACCCCCCTCATCCTGCCGCCTGGCCCCCG